CAGCAGATGTCTGGAAAGTTCAGGTCACCCATGATGACCATGTCCTTTGACCTAACTACCTCCATGAGTTGACTTAAGAATTCCTGGTCTAGCTCTTCCCCTTGGTTGGGTGGTCTGTAGTAGACCCCCACCGTTAAATCTCTTTCCCCTCAACTGCCCATATATTCATGTTTGAATATAAGCAATAACTTGTGGCCTAAGTGAGAAAACAATAGAATTGAAAGTTTCTTTGAAGGGGACACACATTTTTCAATATAAAACATGCAAATAATCTGCAAATAGCCCCAATGTGAAGGTACACATGTGTACCTATGAAGAAAAGTTGAAAGAATCTGGTTTGTTTAGTCTAGAAAAGAGAAGTGGGGAGAGGCTATGAACACAGCAACAGTTTTCCAATATGTGGAGGACTTATCAGGAGGACAACGATCAATTAATTCCTATATCCTCAGAGCATGGGGTTGGAGCAAAAGGCCAATTCCATCTATTTTCAGCAACAGACATTAGATTAGATAGGAGGAAGAAAGTTCTAACAATATATAGTTCAGATTGGGACAGACATTCAAGAGAGATTGCAAAACCACTATTGTTAAAGGTTTAACAAGAAAGTAGACAAACGCTGTCAGGAATTGTAGAGGTATGCATGACTCTACAAGCAGAGGGTTGAACTCAAGGATCTCTTTGCTTTCTAAGATTACAAAACTGACACAACCATCATTCAAAAGTGTCACCATGATACCAAATAAATTATCAGTTATCTAAAGCACTGCTGTTAATATTTATCTTTTCTGTAGGAGCACCATTTTATTTTTGTGGTTTAAGAAACATAATTGCCCTGACAGGCAAGAACAAACAGTCATGGTATTAAAAATTGGTGAGGACATTTAGCCCCTTGAAGATTACTTTATCTCCTATTAAAAAATATAGAAAAAATGTGCAAGTGAAATAACTTCACTGCAGAAATACTAATGTTCTCATTATCACTCTGGAAGCATGCTTTGGTAAAACTTTAAAATATCTGTTTGAAGGTAGGCTTGCCTTGGGTAGCATTACATCAGTAATCTACTTTGTATATTCCCCAGCTCAGAAGTCTCGATTCAATTTTAAGGGCTCATTACTGAGTAGCACCAAGAATTAATTACCTTATCAACAAAGTGTGATAACATTCATGATAAAATGGGCAGAGCATGTAGACTTAATAATAATATTTTTTTTAAATATTTTTGTAAAATGACAGAGCTAAACAAGGTCACTGAATGGTATCAATGCAAGGATATAAATCATTTGCATTAACAGCCTAAAGTTTAACAGGAAAGGAAAAACAACAAGCTTATCTCTAACTTTAAATGTCATGCCTTCACATTCAAACAGGAATCTAAAAGTCCAAAAAGCTTTTCCCCTGTCACCAACAGCAAAGGTTTTTTGTTTGTTTTTTTTTTATAGGCTGAATTTTGCCATCCCGTACCTGTGCAAAACCACAGAATGCAATGTATTTTAGCAAAATAATTATCTAGCTTTATTACTATTCACTAAACAATTTAGTTAAGGAGCTATACATTAATTTATTTACTTATCTTTACTTCTGGTTTGAACGTGACTAAAAGGAGTTAAGATCTATTTGATATGCCCAGCTTTTTTCTAGTCCAACATTTTTTCTACCCGATACAACTAAAATTTTAAGAGGTTAGCATAAAATAAAGCAATTATTTCAGGAAAACAAAACAAGTTGTATTTTTTTTCCTCAAATAAAAAAAAGTAATGCCGAGGAAAACCCAAATAAACCCATCCTTATCATGGTCCTTTTATTACCCACCACAAATAGATGAACCAGGAAAGATGCACTTAAATTACAAATATCAGTACTACAATCATCACATTAAGTTCAAATTATAGGTAGGTAACTGATGAACAGTTTTAAGTTACAAGCCCACAAAAAATATAGAAAACTATTACTAAGGTCATATGATCCTGTCAGAGCCAACCTAATGATCCATGGCAATTTATAATCCAATGTATATATATGAACAAAGACATAGATACTTGTGTTTGCCTCTGAAAATATTAGTTTGTCTTCATAGTGGTGGGGTGATGTTGTAGTCATACCATGGTGGTCCAGAAAATATACAAGAGGTTAAAATTTTTGTGGGCAGTACCTTTTGTTGGACCAGCTGCATGGTTGGGATAGATTTAGACAAGCTTTCAAATGCAGGTGTTCTTTTTCAGGTGTTTTCCTGCTTATTTGTTTCTAGTAATATACAATGTGCTAGGCTAGTGTACAACAAAATACTTTTAAAGGTGCTGCACAATATCAGTGCTGTTTAGCTTGGAAACAACTAAATAAGATAAACCAAAAGATTTCAAAGAGGAATATATGGGGGCAACAATATTTTGACCTGTTGTGGTCTGAATTCTTTCCAACAGAAGAATTGCTCCCTTATTTTTCCATCCTTAAAAAATGAGTGCAAGCTAAGAGTGGCATTTTCTGAGTGGTGCCTTGATTCTAAATAGGCTGCACTAGGCATTTGGTAAACACAGAAATAAATTGTTTTTGCCTGAGAGCAAGGTAACAATTGCAAGAAGTCATGCCAGGTGGATGGACCTATTCAAAGGCAGAAATGGAAGTTAAACCATAGGCTTTTAAAACGGAGTTAGCACCTAATTTGACATTACTACTTTTGAAAAATCTCCCACTAAGTGAACATTAGTGACTAACAAAGCACAGTGAGGCAAGCATATTAGGGGTGTTCAAGTAAAAAATTATCCTCTACTAGCAGCCTCAGAATTAAAAACAGAAATATATTTGGCCACTCATACTTGCCCCATTTTCTCAACAAGGTTATGATCTATTAACCTAGTGGAACATTCCCAGTATGTATTTGTGTGAGAGGGAAGAAGATAAAAGATAGGCCTATGGACAGAAGCACATACTTGAAGTTATAGCCAGGGACTTACTTAAATTGTGGCAAGACAAAATGTTTTTTGAGGCCTGCAGAGCTGATTTTGTGGGCATTACACGGCAGCCTCGCCCTTTGGCACTGATTGGTGGAGAGGTCAGGGGTGGGAGAGGAGGGGTTTGCTTGCCCCTCTGTGATGACTGGTGGAGAAGCCCAAGGGGGAGAAGGGACAAAGGGGTGGCTGCCATCTTGATTGCTGACTTCCCCAATGCTACCCTGCTCCTTGATGCTGATTGGCAAGGACACCCCGGGGGCTGCCATCTTGTCTGCTGCCCTTTGCGTTGTCCCACCAGCTGGTGCCTTCTCCTCCTAGCAGCAAGGACTGCTGGCTCTCAATGTGGAGCCGGCATTACATTTTTAATTTTTTTGTTACTGTTAACTTGGCAGACAATCCTGGATTCCAGAGTTTCTACAAATCCACAGAACTGCGAAATAAGTAGGTCCCTAGTTATAGCAGTGTGCTTTTCTCCCTAAAGAAATGCAGAAAGAAAAGCCTGACATTCTACTTCTTAACTGCCTTTATTCATTTGTATTCACAGCATATTTCACTTACCTGGTAAATCAAGTAAATGAAAGCAACACACATGCCACAGGAAAGGTAGTTACCTTCATTTCAACATTTTAGTAATACGTTTCTCAAAACTCCTCCATATATTAGTCAACAAAGAAATAAACAAACACATTAAACAAACAAACAAATAAATAAATAGTACCTGCTTGTAGAGCCAACCCCGTCTCACAACTGGTGCATTAAGATTTCTCTTTATTGAATTTGACCGCTTTCCAAAATTATGAACCTTCTTTGAAGATCGCGATGTCTAAAATACAAAATTTAGCACCACAATCTATTTACACAAAATCATAAGGCATGCCTGTTTTCAAACACATATATATTTTATTCCATATATATATGCCTGCTTGATTCTTGCAGGATATAGTGTAAATCCCCAGCCTCTAAATGAAGCTTGTTTCTCATAATCCATAATAAGAAGTACATTTGTTTCTTTTTTTTTTTTGTCTCTTTCTTTCTCAACATTCTCCCCATTCACAATCTCTTGGCTGCTACAAAAGGAATATAACTTATTTTGCCTCTGCCTCAACTTCCGGTTTGGGTCTTCCTCCTGTCAAAACAAGTGTAACATACAAGTAAAGGGAAACTTGAGAGTTTAAAAGAACAACAGTGCTACTGATCCAAATCCTCAGTTTCCGGAGGCCATAGGGGGATTTTCTAAATTTACAGTATTACATTGTCCTAGTTTACAGCTAGGTTCCATTTAGGAAGGCACTGCTGCAACCATAAAGTCTGAACACCTTATTTTTATTCTCAAACTTCTGTAAAAATTAATTCCTTGGAGGCCCGGCAAGTTGACAGGGAAATTCTCACTCACCAAGAAAAGGATTAGAAAACAAGCCTTTGCTGCTTCCCTTTGGACAAGTCACTGTGTTTCAATTTACCTATCTGTAATAATTATGAGATAACTTTACTTCACTATGGTATTTTAAAGCCTCAAATAATGTTTGCAGAGAATTCTCAGAGGAAAGATCTTTATAAAATGAAAAAAAAAAGTATTCTTTTATCTACAACCTTATGCTCCAGAACTCAAGATTTTAGTATTTTTTTTATAATCTGCATTACAACACTGAGGCTTTAATTCAGAACAGATTTCTACAGGCTATTCGGGAACAAAATATATAACCTGGAAAAAAAAAAAAAGCCAATGTAGTAAGTACTGAGTTCAGGCAACTATAGCTTTGTCCTCAATAAAAAATGGGTTATTTATCTTAAAACTTCATCTGTGGGGCAGTTTATGGACCAGGAGAACAAGAGACATCTCAAAATTAGAGAAAGTAAAACACACATGGTTGTAATCTTAGGCTGGCAATGAACAGAAGATAAGGATAATTTTAGCAGGAATCACTTTTCAGAAAAAGTTAATCTACTCATTTTCTCATTGCTACAATACCACCCTGCCTGTAAGACAGACATCATTTTCTACATAATGGCTTAATACTATTGCTACTTAATGCTTCCAACTTTGGAGATGTGGCCAATGAAAGGGAAGAAGGAAAACACTACAACAAAACAATAAAGTTTGCACATTTTGATTTTTTATAAGGCAAGTATTTTCTTGGAAGTTTGCTAATAATGCGTAATTCTCTGCCATTTTGATAAATCATAGGTCTGTTACTAATTCTATAATGTCAGAAAGTAGTTTTATTAAGCAACCTTACTGAAATGAACAAGACACTTACTAGATTAGATTTCAAAGGACTTCAGATAATATAGTAATACAAGGGTTGTCAACCGGGGGTACTCGAGAAGGCCCTACGGGGTACGGGTGTGTGGGGACAGAACGCTGCCACGTACCACCCTGTGCAGGTGCCACCCACCTGGCCAGACAGGGGAAGCTTGCACCAGGCAGCTGCCACCGCTCCATGTTCAGCCATGCACCTCCCCCCC